AGGTTGGAGGCCATTGCTAGTAGGTTGGAGGCCATTGCTATTAGGTTTGAGGCCATTGCTATTAGGTTGGAGGATGAATGTGAGAGACCTCTGAAACCTTCGCACCTGGGAATCGATTCGTTTTGGGACGCATGGATTCGCGGGTGACGACGTGCGGAATGCGAATTCCAACTGATCGACTGGTTCTTCGTGCGGCGGGCCCAGGCCGAGCAAGGCCCAGGCCCGGCAGGCCCGGCGTCCCATTTGTTGGGAAAAAGGGTCATGGGTGAAGGAGTGTATCTAGGATGAACGGAAAAGGATGGGAAATGGCAAGGACGCTACTAGTAGCTCCCGGCCTTACTACTATCGTGGTCTAACTTGCAAGGCAGCTTTGCTGTACGAACTAGTGCCTCTGGAATTCGGGCCGACCCAACCCAAAGAAGCTGATTTCATGACTCTGAGGAAGCAAAAGTGGTCCAAGATATCCCAAGTGGCCACAACTGGACCTCTGGGCACCCCAAATCACCAGTCTAAGTGATCCGGAGACATCGCAGGCCGCATGAGCATCTGGCATCGCAGGCCACGACTGCAGAGACCTCACGGCCTCACGACCTAGCCTCGTCACGACCATGCTTCCCATGCTTCGTCACGGACACTCCGCACCTTCGACGTCGGCTCGGACGAAAAAACCAACGATTCTGGGCTTCTGCTCCCCTCCGTGCTACCCCCCGTCTTCGTTCCTTCTTGGCCGCCGGCCAATTTCAGCAAGTGTTGGATGAAGTCCGACTGGCACCGCGGAGTCCGACTCACTTGGACAAATCGAACATCATATCCAGAATGGAAAGGAAAGACCTGGTTTGGTCATCAAACATCCTAACACTTCAAATAGTAAAACAATGGTTCTTCCAAATGACTTATTGAATTCATGGTGGGCCAGGGCGGCCAGGAATCCCAGAAACACGGTGAATTTCGCCCTTCAGCCCTTCAAGACGGTGAACCGCGTCTATCCATCGGTGAATCCCACCAACTCACACCTCGTCGTTGGTGTTGTGAAAAAAGAGCACCGGGCCCCCGGTTTTGGGGTGGTCTTTTTGACATCCAAACAAACCTCTGCTCGGAGCTATGGAAGGGACACCGGCGGTCGAAAACATGGCAAAACCCGCGAACCCCAGCATCGAACCCCGAACACCGCCGATTACGCAGGAGAGGTTCTCTCCGGGCCTTCACCCCGAGATATCTCATGCCGCGTGGAGGTTCGCATCCATGCGGTGGCTGCTCTTCGCTTGTTCCAAGGGCATTCGCACGGGAAAGTGAAGGTACGGTACGAAGGGCAAAACCAAATAACATCAAATAACCATTAAGCAGTGTTCAACCTTTCACTATGACTATAACCAGTTTCATGGTGGGTGTGTTAGCATGTCGTGAAAACCATTTGCCATCTGCAAGGCGTCCGGGATTTAGGTGAAACTGCAGAAACTGTCTTGGTAGATGCAGCCCTCTTCACGAGCACATAGCTTCATCTCGACTTCCACTTGGTGCTTAGCGGCACAGAATGTTCGCGAAAATGTGCACGGAATGGCACGGACGTCCTGTCAAAGACTGAGCCAACTGTGTAGATCATGTCCATTTTGCATCCCGTAAGTATCACAATATTGAAATGGCCACTTTCTGTGGGATGGGCAATCCTGCACCCGTTCATCACCCCAAACGAAAAGAACAAAAAAGCAGCTACAGTAGTTCACAGTTCAGGAGTTTCTCAATCAGAATGAACGTCCAACCATGAGCGGCAATCAATTGCACAGGTCGACTCTGGTTGAAACTGCAGGTTGGGACGACTGACTGGCGGGATGAGCTTTCCCAGTGGAAATCCACCCCAAGGTTGACTCCCTGGAAACCGTTTTTATACGTTCTCCAACTGTTCATGCTTAGTGGGACCCTCCCAAGTCTCCCAAAAAGGTGACCTGCAGGCCTGCAGGTGATCTACTGACGGCAGGACCCTACGATGAATAGCATAAATGACCTTAGATGGTGGTTCAGGCTTGGAGAATCTTCGAGATGTCATCCCCTTTTCATATGCAGTTTCTTTCGGAATCATCGCTTTGCACATCCACCGACTCTCAGCATCCAGTCTTTCCACATGCTTCCAGGTCAAGCCGCCATCCACCCGACGGTCCGTTTTCTCTTTCGGCGTTTCACCGTTTCTTCGTCTGTCTTTGGACATCGGATAACACCCCAAGGCCACACGGCACCAGCAACAGCAGAATACCACGGAGACGCACATACATGTTGGGCACGCAGTAGGACGCGACGAAGGAAGACGAACGAAGACGGTGCCTTGCACACTTCGCTGGAGTTCTTCAAATGCTCTCAACTTTGCACATCTAAAACTCACACACAGTGCTTCAGCGTCAGTCCATCGCTTTGGAATGGCTGACCTTCCTCAGTCCTGTCTTTGTGTCGGGTCACAGGTTTTGCACTGGCCTTTCAAACCCCTGTGCCAAAACCATTGCTCCTTTGTAGCCCAAACTGCAAAAACTGGACGTCGCCCACTGACCGCCACCCGGTCGCAGCTCCCTACAAGGACCGCCTGCTCGCTCTGGGGCAGGCCACTTGGCTCAGGGTGCGGGCCACGCGGCGACCTCCGCTCGTCTGATGCGGTTGCGTTGCTCGAGTCTGAGAACGCGACGTGAAGTCATCTTTATAAGCGATGCCCTTTGCTACTAGTAGCTTGTTACTAGTAGTAAGGCCAGGAGCTACGTTCGTAACGTCCTTGCTCCGAACGTAGCGATGCCCTTCGCTACGAATTAGTGCAGAAGGTGGTGTCCAAAACGGTGACCACGTTCGGACATTCACACGAAGCTTGGTGTACACCCTGGAAGTCAATCAACCATTTTTTAAAATGGTTGCTCTGGTTTCTGAGTGTAAAACCCTTAGTAAAACAGCTCGGTGCTTCGACTTCCAACGATACAGGTCATCCAACCGCGGAAGCGGCTTGAGGTCATTCCGGACCGATCCAGACCGATCTCCGCGTCGCACCGGCCGGCAGTCGTCCCTTTCGGTGCGTGGCGTGCTACATCCAAACCCTCTGGGTACTCCGGTCTCAAACTTCGGATGAAAAGGACCGAATGACCCAAGCAGTGCTTGGCAGAGGGTGCCCTTCCAACGATGTGATGTGACTTGGTGCCCCGAAAAGCCACGCTGCGCCACCTCTGGCGGCACGCCCCGCCCCCCCCCGCCCCGTCTTGCCTAGTGCACCAGCACTGGCGCTCCGTCGGAGGCCTGAGAAAGGATGTGGGTCAAAGGCTCATCCGCCTCCACTTCTGAGATGGTCGAGACGGATGTTTCTCAGCACAATGCTCAGATCCAGCCAGGTGGGACAGCCAAAACTGACTCCGTTCATGGAATGGCCGGTGGGGTGTCTCTATTTGCTCCCAAAAAGGTCAGCCATGGGAGGTGTTCTTCTGCAACACCGGACACTCTTAGTAGCTCCTGGCATCGCTACTAGTAACAACGGCATCGCTACTGCCCTTGTTACCAGTAGCGAAGACATCGCGATGCGTCAGCTTGGCAATTTCCTTTTTGAGAGTCTGAGAGTCCAAGTTTGAGTCATTCTACCCCGACCTGGTAGTGGCGCATTACAACTTCCAGGGGTGGCCTAGTTCATGAGTCACAACGGAAGTTCTGGGTTCATCCCAAAAAGGCATAACAAGACTGGCTCGAGGGTTACACGACTCCACGCAAATCTTCCGACCCTTCCGACCGGTGTGTAGCTGCTTGAGAAGGGAGACCGACTTTTGTGAACGACCCCTTTGGGCTCGGCTCAGGAAATTTGACCAAAACGCCACTAGTCCAAGGGCCTCCCGATTGCAATCCCTTAGGCCTGCAAGTACCTTCTAAGAAGCTGTCTGGGGTGGGTGCCAGGAGGGTCCAAATACCTTCTGACGAGGCACTTCAAGGTCACATGTGCTCTCTCGACCCCAATGCATCTAGATCTCTAGACTTTCTGCTGCTACACCTCCAGACCTCACGCAGGGTCTCTTGCCGGGATAATGTCATCCCGCCATATCCCGCTCCAAAAGCCGCACCGAGGCGAATTCTTCCACCCGCGCAGCAGCACCAATGCGGAAGCGGAACTCGTTCCATGAGTTTGAGGGATGAAGATCAATTGAACATGGGAAGGTGGTTTTCAAAAAGCGGAGTCATGTACCCCAGACCCTCAAAACACCCAATGTAGGCAAATATGGTAAATTACACGGAGTGCCTGGGCACTTGGAGATACAAAGGGTTCCAGCAGGGTATAGTACGTATAGTATACTAGAAAGAATTTCTAGAGTCAACATGATTTCCGGACAATCGAAATAGAAAGCAGCGACAGTGTGCTTTGAAAGTGGACCTCCCGTCGCTGGGTAAATCATTCGCATTACCTACATGGAGTGCAAACTGGAAACTAAGAGCGGTGGCCTCCAACCAAGACCAATGGCCTCCAACCTACTTGCGACGGCCTCCGCCTAGTAAAGATTAAGAACTGGGCTAGGTTATATATACTGATCCAAATCCATACTCTTGTTGGGCGAAATCCCAGACTAGGTCCCCAAAATGCCAAACTTAGTGCATCCACATCACAAGCAATCTTTTGATCAGCTGAGCTTATCTTTCAAAAGAAAGCGGTTGAGCAGCAGGCAGCAAATCCTGTTGCAACCAAACGCCAAAGGAAAAAAGTCCATGCAACAGCTCCCCAAATACCCCAGAAAAAAATATAAGAACTACCCGTCAGTGCACTGCGTTCGAGCTGCCGACCAGCCGAGCTTCCGCCGACTGGTCAAGCTTCTGTCCGGACCAAGCTGAGTGCCCCCTACTGCGAGACAGCCAAGGTCGAAGCTGCTCGCGGCACATGGGGCAAAGGCCGCAGCGCCTGGACCCGAAGCAGGGGATGCTGAGGGCGATGAGCCGTTCTCCGCGGTGGGCCCGGAAAGGAGGTTTCCCCAAAATTTCAGGGCGATCGGCTGGGAGAAGAACGACGTCGTTCCCTCAAAAAGGGGGTTCCACCCGTTCTGCGAACATTCCCAGGTTCCACCCGTCCGTGCGCCGTTCGTGGGGTGTCCCGCTCGAAGGTGAAAAGCAGGTGATCTGTACTTCTTGGTCATTCTGCGCGAATCGCTGGTCTGAAAGCGTCAGATCTGCGCTTCAGACGTCGAACTGGATCAGGATCTCTGCACTCCGTGGACGTCAAAACCCAGGGTCCCATGGACGTAGAAAGCGGGTCCGGACGGGCCGTGCCAATGAGGTTCACGTCCAAAAGGTTCTCTCTCGTAAAAAGCAGTGGACCAAGGCTTTCATCAGATGGACCCGGCCATCTACCCCCCTCTGCAAACTCAGATGGACCCTGATGTTTACCCTGTGGAAGACCAGTTTCCTCTTACAACCCAGTGGTTTTGAGAGTCCATGAAAAAGCTGCAGGGGTATGAGTGGGACCCCTGATGCGCAGCTGCGCCCTTTCTGCTCTGGTCGGCAACTCTTTCTCCGCATGCTTTGTCCCAGGTTTGCTGGGCCGAATGGTGGGTTCTGAGGCCCATGGATCATTAAGTGTCATGTATTGTTCCACGATGTTGCACACATGTGCAATTTAAAAGAGTGAATCTAGTTGTCTAATGATCTATTCTGGGGTCATCGGACTGGTCAACAAACAGGATCTCTTGCACCACTCCTGCAAGCACGTCAAGAATGTCTTGTGCGAACTCGACGTGATGGTGACCGAAAGGCAGGCTCTGACCTCGCCCGAGGTGCCTTTTCGCGGTCACGTCCCAGAACACATCCCCCGACGACCCGCTGGGGACGTTCACTGTCGCCTTTCCAACACCGGGTGAGCTGAGGAACGAGGAGGGAACTGTCCGGTCCGAGTCCCAACATCAGCCGAGGCCGTGTCCTTGTCTGGGGTTTCGCTAGTGGTCTAGTTGTCTAGGGAGCCTCCTGATGACCCCAAGCGAGTTTTGGCCAGGTAGCCCAAGCATCCACCTGGAAGTTCTGGGATAGCTAGGCCTCTCCTGAATACATCACCAAACCCAGCCCAACAAACCCTTCTTTTAAGGGCTTCTGCGAACTTGACTGCTCGGGTCAAGCTTTTCACATGCACCAGCGAGAGGTTGGCTGTCTTTTCCATCGCCTCGCCTTAATCGACTCAATAGAGGCCTCCTGGAAAATCATAGTGGAATGGGGTCTCGCGTCAGCGAGGTCTCCCTCATGAAATACTGGAGTTGGTCATACCAAAGTGAAAATTTCACAGAACTGTCCACCTCATGTTTAGTGGGGTATGTGCTGCCAAGGTTTTGCCTATAATGTGAATTAAGAAGGACTTGCAAGGATGGACCTGCAAATATCATCTCCCACCATGCGGTGACGCGTTGACTCTGCTTGACCAAGGGAACTCGCATCCAACCTCTCTCTGCCTCTTTCTCCGTGAAGAGCAGGGCACTTACAAACCGTCTTCCAAAGATCCCGAGCCACAGAAATCTGCAGCAATGATCGCATTTGTCTTTGTATGAGCCTTGTTGGACTTCGAGATCCCTTCCCTTCTTTGAAGCTTGTTGGTTGATAAGCTTGCAAAGCTTGCTTGAAACTGAGCCCAGTGACAATGCTTGTTACTTTGCAGAACTTTCAGTCGTCTGGTTCCTCTCTTTTGAGCACGTCTACGTCTGTTCCAGGCCCACCATGTGGTGCTACGCCCGAAGCTAGCGGACAAACAGCGGACACTGTTGGGATGTGGGCAACCACCTAATACCAATATCGTGTTGATTGGAATCGATCAAGTCATAATGTGCAGGTGACAGCTTTGAGGAACCCATCAAACGCTGTCGCCTTTCCGAGTTGATGCTGCAAGCGAAACAGGACAACATGTGTGTTCTTTGACGTATATCACATGTTGTGCTGCAACTTCAATGGACTAAGGCGTGTCTTGGTCATGCTCCATATTGAAAGACCGGACAAACATGGACAAACTGTCTCAAAAAAGACCAGGATCTGTTCCCCCAACGAACCCCGCACTTGGACACGATCAGCGGACCTCGAACCATGGGAAAGGTCCTTTTCTTCGGGTCACCGAGGGTTTCGGGTCGCATGTCTCATCGTCTTTCGACTCCCGTTGGAGCGACAACTCACTTGTATGGTTGCGGCGCTCTTACTTTGGAGGGGCCGTTCTTTCTCTGAGCAAATGATCAAATACTTAATGTTCACTCATCCAAACCAGTGTGGACGCCAATACACCTTTCTTCATTAGACCCCCAAATTCTAGGCTTCGTTGCCTGCCTGTGACTGACACGATCTTCCGTGCACCGCTGGCCTTCGGCCGATCCGGCTTCTTCCGCGCGGATGGCGCGGCGAGGGTCCGCCGTGATCGTCTCGCTCTCATCCGCGACGAGCAATTCCCTTTGGGACGTCGAAATGGCTGCGAGTCGCGCTCGCTGCGTCGTCGATTGACACTGGGACCACGGGGGAAACATCGATGCGAGGGAGGATGCGGGGGGGATCGACCAGGGAGCGAACCTAAGCAAGTTCAGGACAGGGGGGGTCTCCCCTTCCCTTCAAATCAACACTCTAAGGGTCTCAGTCACCAGCATCGCCAAGTGGCTTCACTGTCGAGGTGGACCGAAGAGGGCTGACCTGATGGCAGACCTGATGGCGCAACCGGCTGACCTGTTTTGGGGTCTTCTCTCCCTTCTGGTCCTTTGGGGTCTTCCTAGCCCAGTTAAGATACTGTATATTCCAATACAATGTGTTTGCCACCTGTACACCCTATGTTGCCTGTGCAACTGATTGCCACACTTGCTGAGAATCAGCTTCAGACTCAGGTTCTTGTACCGCTGTGCAGACGTAGATGTCTTTTCGTCAAGCTGTTTCCATCCTGCAACTTCCGAGTCCTCACAGCCATCTCATTGCTCTGTACGCATCTCCGGCCTTTCTTTAAGAGCCCGGAGATTTCCAAAAACCTTCACAGAAATGGGCACATCTGCAGAAGTGGGGACGCCCTCAGCCACAGCCACTCATGAAGAAACGAACTCGGCACGCTCTCTTCTTCACGTCCTTTTGGGGAAGCCGCTGCTTTTCGGCCAAGGCGGATCCTCCTTCCTTGTGACCCAAGTTCTTCGCACCCGAATTCGCACATGCACGAATTGATTTCGGCTGATGTCTACATGTTTATGTGGCATGCACATGTACCCGCCAGGATTGTTTATATCTATGCTCGAGGGATGGATATTCCCGCTGCTAATCTGATAATCTGTTCATTATCGGTGGGAAAAAAAAAGCAGGTTCACCCTATGCCATGACGTGCTGCCAAGTGACAGCCCTGCTGACAGTCCAGGCATGTCACCACTTCATCTGATCGAATTCTAAAGTGGGTCATTCTTTGCATGGAAAATGGTTTCATCATGTGATTTCAGCCTCCCATTTCTTCACTGTCTGAACCCCATCAGCCAATCACAGCGCAACGATGTCCACGAGAGGCTCCATCATTCCCTTCACTTGCCGTGCCTCTCCGATGCGAAAGTGCAGACACCTGAGAGCGACGCTACAAACGCGACCTCACCCTGACCTCCCCGCACGACCGGACCGGCACCTCCCCCGGTCCGCTGCGGCCCGTTCTGGCGTCCGAGGAAAGCGGGGAAACCAATCGCTCCACGGTGTGGGGGCGTGAGTGGGCCGTGAAAGCCGTGAACGCCGCGCCTCTCCAGGAAGCGTTGGGCGATGCTCTGGTCGAAGCCGCAGTCTTGCAGCTCCTCCAAGTGAAAACCTGGGGAGAGGAGTCGAAAGCATCGGACCGTCCGACCAGTCTGAGCTTCCGTTCCGGGACCCGGAACCCGGGGGGTCCAGGGGAGGTGGGGTTCCTCACAGCCTTCAGTTCTCGGATTCTTCACCCTTTGTCCACCACACGTTCGATCGAGTCTGAGACCATACCGAACGTGCTCCAGCGAAGCGGAAGCGTGAGGCAAAGGCAGAAACAACGGTTTTCCTCCTTCAACTGTTCATCCCACATACCCGACCTGTAAATCTCCATGATTGAACATTCCTTAGAAGGTCCAGGTAGCAATCCTTCCACCTATGATGTCATTGTCCCCAGTAGCTTCTAGCTACTAGTAGTGATGAAATTTGCTACTAGCAGCTTCTTAATCCTAGTATAGTAATGCTCTTTGCTACTAGTAGCTTCTTAATCCTGGTAGTATTGCCCTTGTGAATAGCGATGCACTTGTTACGTTCGTAGCAACCCTTCCACGTACTTCTTTGAGGTCTTACCATCCACGGAACCTCCAAGGAAGGAACGGCCCGGTTCGAACCGCTTGCCACGAACCATCCCGCTTCGTTCTCGTTGAACATCCCTAGACGTTGCTCAGATGAACATTGCTGACCTAGAACCTCAGTGACCTCGAACTGCGCGATGGAACCACTTTTTGACCGAAGCACGGTCCACTTTTCAGGGAAGTCGTGGACGGGACAGGCACGGGACAAAGTGGCGGGGTACGGTACGGTGCAGAGATGTCCCTCGAAAATAGGTGAGCCGAAGTGTCCGAATTGCTCATCTCTCGGGAAACCAATCCCTCAAACAGTGGGTTTTTGAGCAGGTGATCCACTATAGCAAGACGGCGGTACATGCCCAAAGGAGTGAGCAGGCAGTTGGTTCAGGGCTCCAAGTGGGTCAAAGCTTCCACCATGCAGAGCACCGCTAGTAGCTTGACCTTCCAGATAGGTCAAGCAAGGTATCCTGGTTCCATGACCCAGCTTTCGCCGTTTCACTTTCATACTTTGCCTGGAGGTTTCTCAGGCGCCCCTGCAGAGCAAATGTTCCCAGACTGCCAGCAGCATCTCCCAGTTCTGGGGCGGAGTCGACCGACACGAGACTGTCCTAACTCTAAAGATGTAAGTCATGTAACTCGTCCAGTCTACAGGTCCAGTCTGACCCGGGTCCAGTCAAACCTTCCTGCAAAAACTGACCAGTTGTGAACTTGTATGATCAACTGACCAGTATTTCATGAGGTCGTTCACTGACCTGTAGGGTCAAGTAGTGTGTTCAAACGGTCGAAGGAGACCCGTTCCACGGATCGGACGTCCTCGCAGCGAAGGAAACAGGTCGATCGGCTGGTCGCGTCGGTCGTCGCGTGTGGCTTGGACCAGAACTGGATGAGAAGGACGGTCAAAAAGTATTCCACAATGAAGAGGGTAAGAGGGTGTAGACAGAATACACAACAAGTGGTACGGTGGTTTGGAAACACGTTCTTGCTGTAAAATAGCCCAAGTATTCCTTGCAATCAACTACACTAAGTAGCAAGAATCTGGCATATCGAGCTCAGCAAGAGGCATTGTGGCATTGATACTGAGTCTTGGTGCTCATGACATCTAAATACATCTAAAACTTTCTATGAGGTGCTGAGAACTGTCTCTGAGTAGCTTGTGCTCTGGCTTACTAAATCTCACCCAAAACCCCTTAATGTAGACTCTTGGTTAATAAACCACTACATTATTATACATATACTTATACATGCATATATAATCATATATATATAGGGGGGCACCATACCTGTCTTTACCTTGTCCTGATGCAACCTGACCTTCAGATCCCCAAGTTCAATCCCTTCAATCCCTTCAGATTGCGTTTGGGGCACCTGACCTCGGCTGAAAAACGGAGTTTCAGGCCGGGTCTCTTAGATGGTCTCTTGAAGCTCAAAGAAATACCTATTACAGAATGACACCCTTTTCAGTGAATTAAGGCCCGTCAAAGGCCTTGGATGTCATACACCGTAGTTCCAGGATACCGGTGCCGAACGGAAGGAAGGAGTCGGGGTGCCCACTCACTTCACATCCACTCACTTCGCGACATCGAACTGCTGGTCGTTTTTTTGGGGGGGAACAAATCAAACGACGTACAATGAGGTCAACCTACCACTCCACTCCACCGGGCAACCTACCAGAACCATCCACCGTTTTGACCCACGCTAGTAGGTTGGAGGCCGCTCTTAAGTTCCTTAAAGCCTTAAACCTAGTCTCTCCTGTCGGGGTGTCCAATGAACTACCCCACACTACCTATAGGCTTCCAGACAGGGCACCCCTTGGAGGGTCCTAGAAGTCTTTTTCTTTAAGTACCACTTCTTCGGAAGCGCCCCCCGCTTCGCCTCTTCTAGGCGCTCGTAGCGATCGTTGGCGGCCTCGTCGTTGAGCCACCAGCTGATCTGGCGCACGGTCGCCAGGGGTCGCCAGGGGCCGCCAGGGGTCGCGAGGTCGTTTTTGGGGGCCGGGGCGATGTTCGTTGTTGGGCGCCAGCCAATGGAAAACGCCGAAAAATTGGTCCTTTTTGGCCACCCAAGATCAGTGTTGCCACCCAGGTTCACCACCTGTAACCACCAAACACCACTGGACCACCAGAGAGTGCCTGGCAGCTTCATCAAGGGCCACCCGTAAACGGCCACCCGTAAACGGCCCTTGAAGGGAGCTCAAGCCACCCGACGTGGCTCCGGTGCCGCTCAATGTCCCTGGTGGGGTGGGACAGACCTGGATGGTTTTGTCGTGTAAAACCCGAGTAAAACAGCTCGGTGGTTCGGGACGAAACGACCCATCAATGGTGGTTAGACTTCTAGGGAAAAGAAAGGCATTCTCCGAACCGTTCCACCTGCTCCATCTGCTTGGCCGTCAACGGCCAGTCAGGTCAACGTCATGGTATGGACACTCAGGGAGCAACTGACACATGGGAGCGAATGAAAGAAAGCCGAGGCAAAGCAAACCTTCCACCTGCTCATGCTTCATGGGCAAACCAATCCCAACAGACTGACTGGGTAGGGATTTGCTCTAAGCTCTGTTGAAACTTCCCCCAAACTATTGCGATGAGCGAACCTTGGCATGCAAACAGCTAACATAGACGAATGGTCAATGACACTCACCTGGACAAATCGGTGAAGCCGATCAACCAAACAAGGAAAAAAAATTTTCCTTGGCAGTGTGAAACGGGTGCTTCATGTGATGTCAAGTCACATGTTTGCACCGCAATGGCCGCAGTTTGATGGCACAAGTTCCTTCCCGAAGAGCCCTTTAAGGGCGAAAGCTCGAAGTAGTGCCAAAAGTGTGGCGCCGGGCTGGCTTGATAGACCCCTAGTAACTCAGTGCTTTGCAATTTGTTAGGTTTATCGCCATGAGCAATGAGCTTTCTGGACAAATGCCTGATTTAGGCATAGCAAGTAATGCAATGGCTGCATCATTTGCTGCTCCTTGTAACGTTCATGCTCCGAATGCCTTCATGCCAACTTCCAGAGAAAGAATGTCTCCGAGAACTCCAGTTCCTCATGTTCAGACGGCAATGGGTGGTCCTTTGTCTTCAGAAGTCCCGGCTTTGCCTGGAGGGTTTCCGACTAGTGCTGCGAGAGGACCTAAGGTGGAAGAATTGCTCGTCGAGCAAAACCGGTTGTTGATGAGCTTGCTACAAACTCAGCAAGCTGCTGCTGCTGCTGCTGCTCAAAGTAGTTCTTCTTCCTCTTTACCTTCTTTGAAGCCTTTTGTCGAACCCAAGAAAATTCTAGAAGAGGTAGACCCTCAGACACGAGTTCTGTTCCAGGAGTTTGAAGTCGAAGCCAAGAACCTTTTTTCGGCTTGGGCTACTCAAAAGGCAATGCAGCAGAAATACCAAAGACTGAAGGATGACAATGTGTTGCATCCACATTTTGAAGCCGAATCCAAGCATCAATGGCAGTTTACCAAGCTTTACATGGCTCATGCTCAACCTTTTGCTAGCGAAAGCCCTAGCATGACAGATGCCTATGATCTGAAAGAAGCATGGTCTTCGATGAGGCGAAGACATGCGCAAGAATGTTTCGACTTTGTATGCAAGCACCAGGAGAAATGCATGGAGATGTATGATGGCTTGGTCAAGCTTCCAGCTTTGAAGCAAAAGATGGCAGATAGGCTTGAGAGTTGGTTTGCGCAGCATGGTTATGATGATCAGTCAGTAAAGTACACCTTGCAGACCAAGGCGGCTTTCTTCGTTGAATGTTTGCTGCGTTCGGAATTCCCAAAGGCACAGTCACGTGTCGAAAAGGAAAAGGATTTGAGAGCCAAAAGAGACAAAGCTATTCTTGAAGCTTCAGAAAAATGGCAGAGTATGGAAGTGAAGGATTTGCTCTCCCCGGCTCTTTTTGAGCTTTCTAAGTTGGGAGGTGCAAAAAAGCCCGTGAAACTTAAAAGCGACAGTGCCTTAGCCTACTTGGTGCACGACAACCCGGAACTTTGCAAGAAGTACAATGTCAAGATTGCAGCGCCAGATGTGGAGGGTTTTGCCAAAGAACCGGCTTCCAGAGGTCGGCCAAAGCGTGCAGGAACCCCTCGACACCGTGGTCGTTCGCACGATGGTCAGAGTTCCAAGAGGTCAAAATCACCAAGGCCAGCTTCAATCCTGAAGTCAGACCGTCGTTCCAGCCGAGGCAGTTCCAGATCGCCAAGCAATGGCAGGAGCAAGTCAGTGCGGTTTGCAGATGACAAGGGAAAGAAAGGAGGCAAAGGCAAGAGCAAAGGAAAAGGCAAATCGAAGTCCAAAGGAAAGGGAAAATAGCAAAGAGGAGCAGGGGCAGGTGTTTTTGGTGCGATGAAGAGAAGACCGTTGTGGATTTTTCCAAGTTTCTCGTTGTACAGACTTTGAGGTCACGGTTTTCTTCCTTACTCCATCGGCCAAAGTTCAAGGGTGTTCACAACCTTGCCCCTGCCAGCGAATTTCAAGTCCCAGGGTATGTGCTTCAGCATATTTCCAAAGGCGGCAAGTTCATTCCAACAGTGTCACACACACCAGTTCAACAGTTGAAGTTTGGTTTGCCCGCTTTGCGACGTTCATTGCTTTTGAAAGCCTTTTTCAAAGACAAGCGACAGGACTTTCGGAAAACAGTTTCAAGATGTAAACTCCCTAGTTCGTGGTCTCCGCCTGCGAATGAACACGTTGAGCAGTACATGAGACTTTTGGAGGATAGTCTTGACAACTTTGAACCGCAGGCTTTTCAGAACAATTGGACTTGGGTGGATCGCAAGGCAAGACAATGGCTTGCCAGACATTCGGCTGACCTTGTTGTGGTTGACTGTGATAAGGGTTTGGGAGAAGCAATTGTTCCAAGAAAATGGCTCAGAAACCAGGTTCACCGACAGCTGGCACAAGGCTATGTACAGTGCAGTTCCGACGCCTATTTTGCTGGTATGAGGGAGAGCAAAGCTGGAGCAATGGCTTTGGTTGAGTTCTTTTTCAGTTTTCAAGTGATTTCTGCTGATTTGCGGCGGTTTTTGCTTCATCGGTTTTTTCGTGATGCGGCGGGTACTTTCCGGATTTTAGTGAAAGTGCACAAAGAGCCAATAGGTTCACGCCCAGTTTGCAATTTGAGACAGACCTGGTTCACTCCTTTCGCTGTTTTTCTTGTTGAGCAATTGGCCCCGTTGCAAAAGCATATTCCCACAGTGATTTTGTCCACAGACGAATTGCTGAAGAAGCTTGACCAGCTACAATGCAGAGAAGGCATGCATTTGATTACCTTGGATGTGGTCAATTTGTATCCAAGCATTTGCAGAAGCCATATGCTATCTCTGGTTGTTCCGCTTATTCGTTCCAAGTTTGCATGTCAGCAGTTGGCGACGTTTGTCATTGAAGTTCTGGCAATGGTGCTCTCTGTTGTCTTTGTAGAGTTTGAGGGTGTACTTTACAAAGCTGAAGAGGGTATTCCGACTGGCTTGTCGGTGGCAGGCGTGCTTGCGAATCTGTACCTTTCTCATTTTGACAGTTTCCTGCAATGTTCCTTAGGCAGTGACTTACAGCTAGTAGTGAGGTACATTGATGATTTGCTGCTGATTTGCGCGACGGCTGAGACCAACATCTTGTCTCTAGCAAATTCCTGGCATACCTCTCTCAGTTTTGACTTGTCGGGAAGTCACGAGGTTAATTTTCTGGATGTGTCTCTGAACGTCGAGATGAATCGAACAATACACTGGTCAATGTTTTCTAAGCCGAAGAACCTCTACCTGTACGTTCCAGCTGCCAGTAACCATCCCCCAAGCTGTTTCATTTCTTTGCAGGTTGGTGGGATTGTTCGATGCTTCAGAAGAAACAAGAGCCTGAAAGACGCTGCTCAACACATTGAGGTTTTCAAAGGCAGACTCAAGGACAGAGGATTTAGCCTGAAAACTTTCGAGTGTTTGCGTGCAAAGGTTTCCTTGCGAATGAGATCTGAAGCTACCAGAAAAAGTGGCAGTGTTTTTCTCAAAGTGCCTTACAACAAAGACATCAACCTCAAATGGTTCAAAGGCCAGTTGCAGCGACATTTGCCATTGCTGCAGCGGGTAGTTCCAGATTGCGCTGTAAGGCCCTGTTGGGCTGTGCGCAAGAGTTTGTTTAGACTGAGGTACAGAGGAATTTGGAAGAATTTTGATGGTACAGGGTTTGGATGAGGTGGGACCCAAAAAATTTTTCCTTGGCAGTGTGAAACGGGTGCTTCATGTGATGTCAAGTCACATGTTTGCACCGCAATGGCCGCAGTTTGATGGCACAAGTTCCTTCCCGAAGAGCCCTTTAAGGGCGAAAGCTCGAAGTAGTGCCAAAAGTGTGGCGCCGGGCTGGCTTGATAGACCCCTAGTAACTCAGGACCTTCCAACAGGTGGTTTTTGCACCCTTGTGACCAGGAAACACCTCTTGGAGGGTCCAGGAACAGAGCACCTGCTTGAGGGATGAAAGAGCTTCGCTCAAAGGTGTCTTCACCAGTTCTCATACGGCCGAACAGTCATCCAACACAGTAGTCAGTAGACATCTCCTCCCAACACTGCCAACGCACACAGCTCTTCCCCCCCAGGGTCTCCTCCCTGGACCAAGAACACCCTGAACGTTCTGGGTGTCCTGGCTGGAGATCCCTAAGTACTGGGCCGGGTGCTCCGAAACCCAATTCGGGAAGAACGGGCCTTTTTTCCGCTCCTGCCGTCTCCTCCGAAAGTGCTTCAACCCCCCCCCTCAACTGCCCCGAAGCACCCGAACCGGCCTCGGTGCACAGTCGCCCCATGGAGTCCACCGAGGCTTCGCCGAAGTCCCACCTGGGCGGAGCACGTGCACGCGGCCTTCCTCGCCCTGGGCCCACGGCCTGGGCGCTGCCGGGGGCGCGGTGGGGACCGGGGAAGCGCCGCAACGGGACGGGGAGACGGAGAAGCAGGCGGAGTCAACTTGGACCCTCCGACCTAGGCGAACATGTCATTGACCCTGTCAGGGTCGGCCGGAACAGTCGCACGATCGGGCAAACAGCACTGTACCCGGCCTGGGCACACGGTGTGTGTCAGGAAACACCTCGACTGTACCCGTCATGGCTTTTGAACACACCGACCGGATCTTCCCCTCTTCACCGCTCCGGAGACGGACGTCTGGTACCGGGCCTGCCGATCACGCGGTCGCAGCGGCACAGATCCGTCTGCCTGGACCGCGCGGCACCGTCGGCGCGGCGGGCTCCAAAGCCGAAAGCGAGAACGACACCAGCGGCGTTTCCTTCGGTTTGTTGGGCAAGTGCATTACTGTTGGGCAAGAAGCTACTATAGAAGCAAAGGGCCTCGCTACGAACGGAGCGAGAAGGACGCTACGAACGGGGCTCCTGGCATCGCTACGGAGAGTCCGAGGCTACGGACCGAAGCTACGGGCGACGGTCCGACAGCGGCGAGTTCGCCCCCAAAGAGGTTCAAGAGAACCGGCCGTGCCGACAGGTCTGCCTGGCCATCCCAACAATCTCAGAGGTCAGCTGGAGGTGGTACTTCAACTCCTGGCAAGTCACAGTCGCATGGACCTTGGGAGATGAAGATGATTGACCGTGAACCCCAGAGTTTTGCTTTGCGAAAAGGATTGACACATCCAAGGGTTTGGGAGTCCAGTCGACCAATGTTCAAGGTCTTGAGGTGATGAACATCGTCGAGGAATTTCCCCTTCACTTCGGTGTTGCCGAACATCGTCGAACTGGATTTCTAGAGGTATGAAGACATATTCAAGCAACTTGGTGATCACACCCTGATGACTGACATCTCTGCATCAGACACTCACAAGCGTGTGTTATTTTACTTTAGATACAGAAATCAACCCGGCAAGTGCTCGGTAGGCGAACCGTTGCCATTGAGAGAAAAAGGAATAACAATACGAACTCTCCGCAGTTGTCTCAAAATGCCCCGCCGAACAATGTTAGCCTGACTTTTCTTTACATTCTTTTACATGCAGATCTCTACTGAAACATCAACCACATATATATATATATATATGTGTACATACATAGCATATAACCATCTTTGGAGTAGATAGAATTTGAACCAATCCAAGAACAGGACCAGTTTCCTATTGTGTCTTGGATTATCTACTCCAGGATGACTCTAATTTAAGATTATGATATGCGCTAGCCTCCTGCACCCTCTGACGTCAGAAGGCAAAGGACCCACACAGCCTCTAACGCTCCAGTCGAGCTCCCAATTCGGATCCACAAAGCTGGTCCAGTCTCGGTGAAAACGGCCAGAAGCCAGATGAACGAAGCTGTTGAAGAACCTTCCTCAAAAGAAGCACAACCATACCACCATAATGTGTTTGTCTTACGCGGCGAATATATCAACGATCAACCAAAGAACAGATGATCGTTCCGCGCCAGGCGTGGAACTGAAGTCCTTTGAGTCCTTTGAGTCCTTGGTCTTTCGGAACAAAAATCCTCCGTCTCATGCTCTCTCTCTCTCTCTCTCTCGCTCTCTCCACCGGTGCCCACTCCAGTTCCCGACGGACCACCCCCCGCGCCCGAGCCATCACGAAGGTGTTGTCCTGGCGACGGCGCGTGCGCCACTGGCGACCGGGAGGAGGGACGCGCAGCTGGGGGGCTCCGGGATGAAAACGACTCATCTCGCGAATCCCGACGTTGGCCAGCCGAAGCTTTTGCTGAAATTTTGGAGGAACCAGGGAATCAGAAGGACTTCAAAAACAAAACACACTGATGTCGCTCCAACAAGTGACACCAACAGGTCACTGAACCAGATGTTACCTTCATTCCCCCCCTCGTGATTCCCCTTTGTTTTTCACCCGTTGCCACCTCGTGCCCCTTCATTTCCCGCCTTGTGCCCCCTTCATTGTCCCCTTGGTTGCATCCATTGCCCCCTCCTGCCCCCTTCATTCCCCGCTTGTCTTTCATCCATTGCCCCCTTCATTCCCCCCTTGTGTGTCATCCATTGCCCCCTTGTGTTTCATCCATTGCCCCCTCGTACCCCCAGCCCCCTCGTGCCCCCTTCATTCCCCCCTTGTGTCATCTGGCTTCATCCATTGCCCCGTCCTGCCCCCTTCATTCCATCCTTGTGTTTCATCCATTGCCCGTCGTGCCCTGCATTTTTTTTGTGTTTCATCCATTGCCCTCTCTTACCGGCAATGCACAAAACACAAGGGGGGATGGAGGGCATAAGGGAGGCAGTGCATGAAACACAAGGGAAAATGAAGGGCCTCCTTCATTCCCCCCCTTGTGTTTCATCCACTGCCCCCTCGTGCCCCTTCATTCCCCCCTTGTGTTTCATCCATTGGTCCTTGCCCGGGTTTTCGCATCAAAAACAAACCGGACGAAAAACACATGCCATCAATTTAATAGGCTGAATCCCGAACCACCGAGCTGTTTGAATCAGGATTTTATACTACAAAACCATACAAAACCAGGTCGTTCCCATTCTTTGAATCGAACGGATGCCGAATGCGGGCGGGACGGTTTCGCACGGTCACGTCGTGGAGAGTTTCGCCCGTCAGTGCCGTGTCCTCTTCTTCGTCCCCTGGCTGCAAGCCTCACGGAGTCGAAGCCGAGCTTTCCGGCACGTCGAGGTTGGCAGCTCTGAAAGGTCCAGGCGAGCTACAGGCCAAAGGGATCCAAAGGTCCGTAATAGTCCGGACATGTCCGGACGCTACGTTTGACCAAGCCGGTGCAATCACGGTTCTATCATCTTGCGAGCTATGGAGATCTTCATGAAACCAAGGCGTGCGGTCTTGGACATTGAGACTTGAGGTTGAATCAGCATGAAGCAACTGGAGAACTACTATGCCGAGTGTTCACCTGTGTTGGTTCGCCTTTGCTTGACCTTGTTTTTGCCTGGTTTCTCTGGGTTTAAAGCCGTGCATCTCTTTGTTGAGTGCAAACTTGAAGATCACTGAGATAGCTGACAAAATCTCTGAGGTTCTAAGCTTGGGGTTGAAGCAAAAGTTGTGGCTTTGTAGGCCCAAGCCTATATAGAAGGCCTGGAAAAAAGAATTAGGATCATACACTCCTGGAAGAAACGGCCACAAACCTTGTGGTAGTTTAGAAGATTGTAATGTGCCCAGACGCTCCTGGACCCTCCTAAGTAGGGGCCGGACCCTCCTAAGTGGGGGCCGGACCCTCAAATCTGTAGGGTTTTGAGGGACCAGGAGCTGTTTGGAGAAACTGGGTGATTCATAAAAACAGGACCGAGACATGAATCGTCGGTCGCCCCTTGATCTCATCGGTCGCCATGACCGAACAGGACCGTTGCCAGCGTCGCTCCGTGACGGTGCCCAACCGGTCCCCAACCGAACGAGTTCGTGGCTCCGTCGCGTCGTGCTCCGGAAGCGCCCCCGGTTCGGGTTCGCGCCCCGAAGGTGCGCGAAGGCTTCGGCGCGATGCCGTGACGATGTCCGTCGCCTTCTGGTTAGTATAGTAGTAATGGCCCTCCAACCTATGAGCATCTCCAGACCTGCATTGGCATCTGCTTCACTTTCAGAATCACTGCAGCCTGGCGGACCGAGTTACAGAGCCGAGACCGCCACGGAGAGGCTGCGGGGGGGGGGGGGGGGGGGGGGGTGTCCCTGTCGACCCGTTCGGCCCCGTTCTCCTTCATTTCGACACGATCCAGTCTAGACCTACTGGGTCGTACTATGTGGTAGACCAAGTACAAAGATACGTAGACCAAAGACCGAAGTCCACAATCCCCTTGGTCAAAGAGACGGTTCTTCGACCTGGCGTCATGAAATCAAGGGTGCTTCGACTTCTAGGGAAGAATGTGGGACTCCAAAGCTTTTGGGACTCCGCCCTGGCGTGAACCCAGTGTCCCCAAAAATCCTGAGACACACTCAGACTCTCAAACCCACATGGTGTGTGACTTTTGGCGGGGCTTGAGGCGTCACCGGTGTCACCCCCCAAACAGATCTTCCGTTCGACCGAGGGCCCATGTCAACGGCGTCACTGGACAAAGAATCGCCATGTCCGGCGTCTTAGCCGCCTTCGCCCCATGGTTTTTGTGCCATCCGACTCGGAAAAAATGGGGTCTGATCTGAACCTTCCAAAGCGAAAGGATTGGGCGCCAACAAAACACCGCTACCGTTCGGAAGCATTTATGAGAGCTACCCATCCATAAGGATCGGTCCAAGGAAAACTGCCACAACATGAGATGCAACGCATTTTTAGAGGATTATCTTCTTCATCAGGTCTCTTGGAGTCTCGGAAGCTCCTTCCAGCCTATCAGCCGTCCATCCTTCCCATGTTTCTCGGAAGCTTGGGGTGGTCGGAGTGGATCAGCGCTTTGAGTCCATCGTGTTTGGCCAGCGCTTTTATAAGGTTCCTCCAGCTGTTTAAGGCTTGCAGCGCCAATTTTGTAAGCCCGCGTCGGCCGAGGTCACGGCGCCAGCTCGTTTGGAAGCCAAACCCACCGAAGTACTACGCTGCCAATCGGCACGCAATGTGTCATTCCATGGGCACTACCAGGCAGATCACATCTGTGATGCCTCAGGAACTGAGGACTTTGGGATAAGCCACGTGGAAAATGGGCGTAGACATTCTGACGACAAAGAAGACTCAAAGACTGAGTGAAGGCCACCAGGTCCCCAAGCTTTGGGCAGCCAACACGATCCGATCGGGCGGAATCCGTCTTGGACCGAGCTCGAAAAAGCCAGCACCTTCCAGTGTGACGTTTCAACCCTCACAGCCGTCACCCTCCCAGCCAACGGCGACCCGGGGCGACCCTGGCCTTACGAACAAAGCGAGCGATCGGACGCGACAACTCGAGACGGACGACCTCCGCGTGCGTCCGCGTGCGCGACCCTCCGGACGGCCTGAGGGCTTTCGGCAGCAAATGGGCGCAGCCTGAGGGCGGAGACGGGCGGGCGTTGGCGGCGCGGCGGTCGGGTTTTGGGGGGACAAAGGAGCTGGTTGAAAAGAATCTCACATTAGCAGCTAGATGCAGCTAGCAGTTGCAAAGGACTGGGTGTTCAGTGTCATTCTCAGTCAGTGGATGTGGATGTGACGTTCGGGCACCCCCCTGTTTGTTCGGAACTGGAGCCAACATTGGATATAAAACATGTTCTCAAGTTACCCTGATTCGTGGATGGAAGCCCAGGAGCTCAGGATGTTGCATCGCTTTTCGACCGGAAGGGCACCCGACTCCAAGAAGAGCGGCTGCCACTCTGCAGGTGACTCCTTCTGCACCTACCCTCTAAGTCTACTTTTTACCAAAAGGTGCCAGGTCTGATCCAGGCATGTCCTTGACTTCGGTGCCAAAGATGATCTTTCACTGGACTTCGGACTCGCCAGTTCTTTGCCAAAGCTTTCTGCCTCGCCTGATACTCGATCAGCAAGGGATCCACATGCACGGCGGTACCTGAGTGAAAGGAGATTCTACCAGGGCCCCCCATCCCATGTGGGCTCTTGAAATCAGTAAAACCCTCCATCCCCATGTGAGTGTGGGTATACCACCTAGGACACCTGATGTGCAGGCAACGACTCCGACGAAAGAAAATAGACCAGTTGCGACTTTCGGGTTCCGAGTTCACTCTCGAGCTCTTTGCAGGAAGAGGCAGCCAGAAAGGGGTGCCATCCATGGAGGATAGGGGTGCCCCTGTCACATCCACTCACTGGATGGGACTAAGAAGCATCCTTTTGTGACTCTTGGTGACCTGGTTTTAATGGTGTAACATCTTATTAAAACAGCTCGGTGCTTCGGGATGCCTAAGCCCAGGGGGGGATCTCGTCTCCGTTGGAATGTGGAATCAGGGGTGGACACGCCCCAGGTTCTCTGCGGTTAAAAGGGGCCAGCGCCACTTACAGGACGCGTTCAGCTCTGGGCCCCCCGACGTGGGGCCTTCTCCTCCGTCCTGAGCAACGACGTCCGTCGCGCACATCGCGAAGGTCGCCACGCACGAGGGTCGTGAGCGGATCGTCGCCGGGGATCAAGCGCTTTGGAGCAGCTTTGGTGCAACCCGAAGGGGTTCGGGTACAAACCTCTGTTACAGAGGCTTTGACCTGCTAAGGTCGCCTGTCAAGACCTTCGGACTAGGTCTTTGGTCTAAGTCTCATTGCCCTTCTGGGGTATCCTTGGAGGCTGAGGGTGCGGCCAAACACCACCCCTGGGCCCCTGAACTCCTGGTGGTCATCATGTTTGACCAACTGACCTGTCCTGACCTGTCTTTCATAAGAGGTCTCCACGTCTCTTGCCCGGAGCAACTTGAAGATTCAGATTCGATGGATCTCTTGGAGTCACCTTTTCCGCTCTTCAGCGACGTCGCTGCTGGCGCTGCTGGCGCGTCCGCGAGGTGCGTGAGGCGGCTTCCGCAGGCGATGCGGTCTGAAAAACCACCTTCTGCTACCAGCAACATCCAGTTCGGTGACTGGATGATATTGGATGGACAAATCCATCATCAGGGGGGTCTAGAAACCATCCTTTGGGTGACCGCTGCTAGGTGTCCCTCATTGCTTTCCCTGGTTGCATGTAAGATCACGTATACCGTATAAGTATCATGTTTGCTCACTTCCATACGCTTCCCGGCTGATGGCCTCGAGAACGCCCCAGACCGGGACGGCGGCGGCCCCAGCTCACCCAGAAGGCGCGGTGCTGTTTTTCCAGGGCCCCCGGCACGTTCTTCCGCCAGATGCGGCCCTGGTTCTCGAACGATCCAAGACCAGCGGCCCGAACGTGTGGAAAAACGGATGGGAAAGCTCCGAAATGGGTTCATAAAGATGGTACTTCGGTGTTCTTCTTCACTTCACTATCCACCTGAAGAGTGGAGTCACGGTGGGGTGGAGGTTCTCAGTTCTCCCAATAATGGTGATTTGGGGACGGGCTCCCACACACGTCCCTGGGTAAAGAAGCATAGATGTGCTACTCTCCCCAAAACGAGCTCATGTCGTTCTGCCTCAAACCCAGACATGACCCCCGTGTTGATAGGATTTGGATGGACTTGAGGCCATATGTCGGGGTGGTGAGTGATCCAAACTAGAGGTCACTCAGGTTCTAAAAGGGGTGCTGGCCACACGAGCAACACAGCCCGATGTTCTCGATGAACCCAGGAAACCGTTGGCCCTACAGGTCAGTGAAGGACCTCATTTTACTGGAGTTGATCATACAAAAACAAGTCAAACTAAAAACTACTCACTGAGGTTTTCTTGAAGCTTTTGGCATTGACGAGATTGACTGCGAAGACGGATGCGGAGATGCTATGTCAAATTATCTGGGTTTGTATTGTATAATAGGGGGACCTCCAATGGATTTAGTTTGTTTGATGATCTCTCTTCAGGGTCAGAATGCAGAATTGCTTCAGATCATCGAATCCCAACATCCTCTCATCCTCCCTCACCAAGCCCGTTGCACTGGGCGCCTCAAACTCAAAAATGGCCACCCAGCTCTGTCGGCGATCCGACCACTTGCGCCAGCCCTTGACGTAGCGGCCTGTGCACAGTGAGCCAGGGCCCCTTGCTGCGGCTCGGTCGCTTCTTGGGCACATCGGACCCCACGGCGGAGCCTTCGGAAAAGTGGGAGCCATGGACCCTTTCTTGGGGAAACGAAGAAGCCCAAAACGACCGGGTATACCAGGACCCGACCCTGTTTCGGGGTGTCTATGCATAGCTCCGTGTCGAGGTGATCACCGGACCCGCGTGATCACCGCTCCCACCGCACCAGTGGCAGCGGTTTAAACGAACGCTAAAAGGTCCGTTGGGCAGGTGGGGCACTCGTTCCGCCTCTTGAGAAACGAAAACTGAACCAGGACACCGAAAAAGGGGCTTCTATCGATAGCCCCTTAGATGTGATTCGGGGTGTCCATTCACCACCCCGACAGTGGGTCCTGGGTCCGTTGATCCGGGTGAAGTGTTGCTTTCGTTGTTCACGAACTAGACGTAGCTTCGTTCGAGGGTGCGTCCAGTTGCGCTTCCGCGCAACAAGTCGCGAGGCCAGGCCGGGAAGCGAAGCTTGTAAGATGCAACAAACACCTACTGGACCTGTCGGTTTCTTCCGAGCCGGTTGACCTTTTACAGCCGGGAAATGGGGTTTTCCCCCAAAATGGTCAAAGATGGTTAAAGCCCTGGAAGTCAAGTCGACCATTTTTTCAAATGGTTGCTCTGGTTTCTTAGTGTAAAACTATGTAAAACCCTTAGTAAAACAATGATGGTTCGGGATTCAGGCTACTAAAACCATGGTGGGCCTCGACTTCTAGGGCAAAGATGATCCACTGACTGCAGTCAGGTGGAAAACCGCTTTCTTCTTCGAGCCAAGCGAGTTCTCGAACCATCGGGGAGAAAGAATTCGGCTCGAAATCATTCGATGGAACCGGGAGCAACGTACGTGGGTCCCTTGTCCCTTGGTTTGGGAGCGAAGCGGATGGGAAGAAGTGAAGAAGACTTTTGTGGCACCCCTTCAAATTCCCCCTTGAAGACGAACAGACTATATCACATGGACACTGAGGAGGCCATTGTCGCCACTGGTCTCCTAGGGGGTCCGCCACCTTCTGTGGCACCACCAGTTCACGACCTTCTTCACCACTGGAACCGGTTCGGCTCCGTTTTCGCACCGCAAAACAAAAAAAAAACATTCGTGCACCAAAAGGAAAGTGGATGGGAAAAGCAAATGAAAACCTGGACCGGGACGGATGTTGGCTTCCCATCCACTTCGACCCAGCATACGTGCGTACTCTGAAAACAGCCACCAGCCACCGGTTTGTCATCCATTGCGTTTTCTTCACGCCACAAAGGCATTGGCAAGCTGACGGCGCCAGGTGATACAGTGAGACACCTAGACTTGGAGCCTCCGAGGTGCTGCCTGATGACAAGAGGTCAGGTGAGGTTCACCACCACCTTTGGTGGCCAAAAACCACCTGAAAATGGACCTGGTTGTCCTCTACCACCCAGTGGTTTCTCAGGTTCCTTGTGGGTCTCGGAACCAGGGCGTATCACCTGGCACTTCGATCCAGCTTTGCACCGGGCGGATGGCGCGGGCGCTGAAGGAGCAAGAAGATGTACAGCCTCAGGTTGGAAGGAAGAGATGTGCAGCCTCTCCTGAAGCAAGTGGGTGACACTTGGCACGGTTCGTTCGTCTCATCTAATCCATTCCTTCCCAACAATATAAAGGAAAAAAACAAACACTTCAAAGTTTTCTAGAGAAAGGGACGTCCAGCCAGGCCACCGGACGTCATCGTGCCGGTGTCGTCGTCACGGACTGGTCGGCACAGACTGGTCGACGCGGTCGTCCAGCGGAGCAAGCCGTCCTGGTGGCTCCAGCGTTCCGAGGAACACTCGTCACGCCAAGTCCCTCTTCAACACCTTCATCGCTTGGGAGCAGCGTAAAAAGCCGAGAGGATTCCAAGCCGTGGAAGGTGAATGACAGCGGTGAAGGGGCCCAGATGTGACCAGGAATCCATCCCGCCTATCGATCACTTATATAAAGGGATGGATTCCAAGAGAGGAAAAAGAGAAGGAAATAAGATCCACCATGAAATTTCTTAAGATATTTCTATATAATTTCATGGTGGCAGAGATTACTTATTTTCTTGGTCTACTTCTCATGAGGCATTCTTTCTTTTATAATAGAATGCCGGTCATCGGCTAGTTCTTTAAATATCTTATGCTCATGGGAATGCCATGAAATAAAAAGAAAAGTATGAATTAATTTATGGCATTCCCCCAAAATATATAATATTATTACATTAGCCTATGACCACGAATCATTAATAAATTGAAGATTCGTTCCACTTATTTTAAGTGGTCATAGGATTATTTTTCTTTATTCATGATGGATTTTCTAATAGCGAATGGAAAACATGAGTTCACCTATGTGTTTCTACCTTCCAATGTACCATTTGCGATGGCCTCCACCCTAAGGGGCAATGGCCTCCCACCTAATAGCTGTAGCTGTGGCCTCCAACCTACAAGTTTCTCCTTGGATTAAAGGTGTAACACCAAGGAGAAAGCAAACATGTTGCATACATGGCAAATGTCTGTTGTATGTACCTCAATGTCGATGCAGGGCGCAACAAGTTGAAACAATGACAAATCTTCACAGGAGTGTGGTGTCTTCTCATTAGAAAGGTTCGCACGCAAATCACAGATCCACTTGAATGTGCCTTGAGAAGAAAGGAGTACTGATTTACACACCTCAGGATCTCTGGTTGAAGCACTAGGGTTGGAATACAAGTAAGCCATGTGTAAAAATAATAGCCTTAAAAGAATGGCACCAATGTGGACACGCATGGCATACCTACACGGCACACTTCTCGAAAGACCGACCGACCCTGGCGATCGCCTTTGTCTTCGGCAGCCTGGCGCATCGGGACCCCGCGCGCACGAGGGCGATGAGATCAACGGCACAGCTTCAGCCGCAGCCCTCCATGAGCACTTCCTGTACCCTCAGACCGCGGGTCACACGCACGAGGAAGCAGCGCATCAGCGGTTGTCCAGTGGAGACTTCCAGCACGCGCCCGGTCTCCAGAAACCTCACCAAGAAAGGATCAAGGCCATCCAAGGATTTCAATCTGGGGGATCTCAATAACGTCCTTTGATTCTCAGGAAGCCAGAGTCATCGTGGCCCTAGAAATAAGTGGCCCATCGCAACAAGGGGTGCTTGAGTTCAACAACGGCCCACTTCTACGAGTGAATGGGATCTCCACTGAAGCCTGCAGTTCGGATCCATAGAGTTGATCACACACACTTTGCCATTCACCAAGACCAACACCACAGAAAACGTCGTTGGCGTTGCTTGAGGTCATCAAGCTAGGGCAATGTTGGGACAAGACCAATCCCAGGTTTTGAACAGCACCGATCCCACATCGTGGGTGCAGACCTGCAGACCCTGCGAGGCAGCGACCCAGTTGGCTGATGGCTGATGCCAGTTGGCTGATGCCTCAACTGCTTCAAAGATGCCTCCGTTCTCCGTTCAATGCAGACACCGATTCGGCAACCCAGCGGTACGGTAAGGCAGAGCCAAGAGCCACAAAACACATGTACTTTGCTTTAATTTTGTAAAAAGATGCGAAAAATATCCCACGCCTCCTTCCCGCGAAGCAGTCCGGATCGGAGTCCGAGCGCGCATCCAATGCACGTTCGGACCCCGGAAAAGGCGAGAAAGATCCCCTTCGATCCGACGACGGAAAGGCGAGATCCGACAAGACATCCTGTGAAAAGACACCGCCATGAGCTCCATACCAGGACCGACACCGTTCGAGGTGTCTATAAATAGCCTCTTAGTGGTTAAGGGGTGTCCAAAAACCACCGGACTTGGAAGGTCCTGGTACTGAAGGAATGGCGTTGAGTCCCATCCAGAGTGGATGTATGTGGATGTTCTGGGCACCCTTATCCTCTAATAGGTACCCCTTTGAAACTCCTAACCTGCTGGGTCATACTTTGTGAATCGGTGAACTCCCAAAATCACAACCGCCCGGCGACAAAAAATGCATGAAAATGAGAAGAACGTGGTTGCTTCGTAGTCTGAATGGAGAGAGGTTTGGTCATGGGCCCGTAGGCTTCAGGGGAGACCCCCTAACCAGTGGGCTTTGGTCTATTGGAGGTCTCCCAGATGTCTCATACACATCCAGATGTCTCGTGAAGGCAGCTGAGTCATGAAGCCGATCCAAGACCACACGGCATGCAAGCCTTGACCGAAACACTCCACTTCTGCGCAAGCGCACCCAAGAAACTCAAGAAACCCAAGTTCTGTGTGCACATGGGGAGACTCCCGGACCTTTCAGCTTCAGTTCTGCTACCCGTCAAGCACTCTCTTGGAGAAGACGGGAGCAGGCGAGAGGCGAGCAGTCCATCGGTCCGCTTGGGCTGGAAACGACCCACCGGAGCCAATGAGAAGCTGCTTGAAAGAACTGGAAAAAACCTGCAGGACCAGCACCGACGTGACATCGTTCTGACGAAACGAGGACTGACCACCGAAGGGGTCCAACTTGCGGAAAAAGAACCACAATGCCTGTACCCTACCTGGACCCTCCTGTCGGGGTGTCCTGGCTGGACTACCCCACACTACCGCACGTTCGGCTTCCAGACAGGGCACCCCGCCAAAAAGGTCCTGGTAGACTTCCAAGAGTGAAAAATCATTGACCTGAGGTGACCTGTCGAAAAATCCGTTACAGCTCGGTGTTCTTCGGGATGCTTCTTCAAACAGCTGGGCTCTTCGGGTTCGCCCCACGGGTGGATTCGTTCCAAGGATTCGCCCTCGTGGATCCGAAGCAGGCGAAACCCACCGCACGGACTGGATGTCCCGGTCTGCAAAGCAGACGACCAAGCCGGTGTGGTGTCATAGACCATCGAACCCCAACAGGTCTCCGATGGCTGGAGGGTTGGGAAAGGCCCTGTTGTGGGTTTCAATTGGTGACCTGTTGGCCGTCGGTGCTATGAACAGCACAAGCCGAATGTGTTCGCGCAGAGTCGCGTACACAAGGCCAGTCGCCAGAGTCGCGAAGTGCCTGGCGAAAGAACTGCCGTTGGCTTTGCTTCGCTTCTCGACCATCGGACCTCCCGACCTGTCTTCGGTGCGAATGATCTTCTTCGCGCGCCTTCTCGGTTTCGGCCCAGGAACTTGGCGGTGAGTTGAAGTATCTGCTTCAGCTTCTCTTGACTCTTCCTCAAGGGGGACTGGCTGTGCATGCTAGAAACTTCAGAGGTCCTGCTGCAATGACTAATTCATCGAGGAAAACACATCTTGCCATTCAACCTTGATTTCGGGGCCAGCTGTTCAGCCACGTCTTGGAATCAAGTAACTTTGGTCTTCGTCACAACCTCCAGAAAAAAAGACTCCGGCAAATTAGTGCGATCACATCACGTAATTATCCGACTACCCTCCGATCGATCCAAACGACGTTAGCCCCAACAAACCCTGGTGCAGCACCTTGAACCAGAAAGTTCAGTAAAAGGAAGCATGACAACATGGAACCTGTTTTCATCGCTTTTTACGAGGTCCAAACCAGTTTAAAACTCCCAGTGAGATGTCTTCTCCAAATTCCCCATCATCTCTAACGCAAGCAGTTCCACCAAGTCTGCTAAGAGTCTCAGCTTTCAGCAGCTCACCCTGGTGAAGATCCAGAAGGGCCAACATTACTTCATCCTCAGCTGCGCGCGCGCGAATTCGCCGTCCCCTGGGAATGCAAAATCGAACTTCCAAGGGCCCCCCCCGAGGTGAAGAAAGCAGCATGGTGCTGAAGAAGTGTTGATGTTGAAAGCCTCCATATAATTTCTGCGGCCTCATGAATGAATCGGAGGCAAAGCGGCAAACCACTTCCTTCGAAAGCTGCTTACATGGTCACGATCGCATGGATCCTGAGAGATACAACCAATCCACACACCTGATCCGTCCCAGCATCTTGGTAAGTGGTGATGCCAATGGTACGGCTCCTGAGTCCAAAGAGCTGTCAGAAGAAGAAAGTATCTGAACTACAAGAGATAAGGTGTCAGCAGCTGGTGCTGGTGCTGATGCTGATGCTGGTGCTGGTGGTGGTGGCGGTGGTGGTGGTGGTGGTGGAGACATCACATTTACCATTTCAGAGAATGCGCTTGGTCCAGTTGCTTCGCTGCATTCCGGTCTCAAGCATGGAAAGCGACCAACGTGTTCCTTCAACCAATGGCCCTTGCCATGCCCCCCATCGGAAGTTCGGGCACGCTGGAAAGCGTGCCGGGGGGGAAGCCTAGATGCTTGGCATTGCTTAAGGAGCCTTCAAACACAAAACATGTCCCAAAAAAAGCCCCTTTTGGGGGGGATTTACCTATAGGCTATATAGTATATAGGGAAAAAAGATAACCTTAAGCAACAGCAGGGAATGCCATCTGCCGCGATAAAATCCAAACCAAATCGAGTCTCCAGAGATCATAGCACACCACTTCGCCTTCGTTGGGCTCCACCCGCCGCTGCAGCAGTGGCACGTCGGAGCGGTGTTCGATGGGGATCACCCGCGCACCCGGTAGCGAGGCTTCGCCAGCCAGGGCCACCTTCGGCCGAAAGCAAGAACGTGTGCCTTCCACTCAACGAAGCATGAAAAGACTCGGAAAACCCAGGTGCGTTTGGGGCTTCGGATGAAATCGCTGGGCGCATCGGGTGCCGAAAGCTGAAAGCTTCAGTTCTTCGGTCCTCCCTTGCGGCTCTGCACGATGCGCGCGACGTTCGGCGTGGGTGTTCGGCGACATCCAAGTTGATCCCAGCAACGGGTCCGAAGTGACCTTTCTATAGCCATGGCCTCCAACCTACTAGCGATGGCCTCCAACCTCATGGTGAATGTGTTTTTCTCATTTGATCTGAGAGATTGGCATCGGACGGCCCTCAGCAATCTTGAAAAGCCTTGTCCTTGGACCCTTGTCGTGCCGGAGCTGTTCGTCAGATCAACGGTGAGAGTCTACCTCTGTCATGCTGAACCGCAACTGTCATTGTGAGAAAACATGAGAAAACGTGAGGAACCCGCACGGGAGACCTACTGCCGAGCAACTTAAAAACTAGAAAGCCCAGCAACATACATCTATCTGCCAAGCGTCTAGGCGAGTATCACCTTCCACCAAATGCTGGTGCAAGAACTCCCACTGATCGGAGTTCCAAGGAAAAAGTGCCTTGGCTCAAAACCGGAGTTCCAAGAACTTCTGTACCAGTAACCTCAACAGTATGTCCTTCGCTTGTACGCGACCCTTGGGGATGTTTGTTGTGTCTTCCAACTTCCACTCCAAGACTCGACTCGTTTGACCTGACGAGTTGTCGGAGTTTCCACTAGCGAGGTTTCACAAACTCTAATCCAAAAAGAAACAGGTTTTGCCATTTTAATCATAGAGGTTGGTTCTTTTCTTCTGACCATAGAGGTTTCAATGAGTCATCACAAAACTCTCAGGCTTCTCTATCCACCCTTCATTGATCTGTTCGCCATTCACGTCCTCGCAAGAAAACGAGGAAGAAAACGAGGACCGAGTCGCAGGGATGAAGCCAACTGAGGTCTTGCTAGCTGCTAGTGGGATTGTGAGGTCGATGGGATGCCAACAACTGTTTTAATGGTCTGAATCCCCAAGCAAGAATCATTGTTTTACTAAGGAGTTTCTTCAAAACCAGATCAACCCTTCTTTTTAATTTCTGAACTGAAGGCTAGGGAGGTCTTGCAGCGGAGTCTTCTTCCACTGCTTTTTGGGGGCACCGTGCTCCTTGTTTCAGGACTGTGTCATTCGGAAATTGGCCGGATAGGTTCCCAACTTTCAGCCATGACGACCGGAGTGACGTCCAAAGGACCAGGTGACGTCCAAAGTGGTCTTGGCTACACATCTCGCTACACATCTTCTTAGCTTCAAAGCGCCTTGTTCGTATTTGGTGCCTGAACACTCCACACAGGTTGGCCCCCCCAAGGAATCCGGGTTGGGCATCTCACTTGTCATCTAGGCAGTCTCAAGGGTACCCACCAGCCCTAAGGGTACGCTCCTTCCTCACCCAGGCACAAACGGCGTCCAGGGCCAGTCCTCTTGGATCAAACTTGTTTCGCGAGCTGCAGCCAGGCACAGGGGAAGGAAACCTCTTCTGGCAAGGCTGGTGAATGGCAAGGAGAACCGAACAGGTGTGGAGTCAAAGATTTTGGAAAATGGAATCCATCCATGCATAGGTGATTGGGCTAGTAGAAAGCCCAATACCTTGAGCTGGTGAGCCTGAACCTTGATCTGGGTCGCCGAAGCTGCCAAGAGCTCAAAAGCTGCCGAAGACCAAACGGGGTCGCCTCCTTCATGACGCTGCTTCTCTGGGTGAAGGAGGCCCAACAGAGGGAACGAGGCAATCCAATGATGTTGTTAACCCTAAGAAAATTCCCAAAAGTGACTGACACCCAGGATTTGGATCCAAGACCCAAAGATTGCTTGATCGACGTTCACATCCAATGAACCCGGTTGTTTTTTTGGGGGCCCACCCGTGTCTGAACCCCATCCGAGTGCACCGAAAAAGGCACCCCACCCGTGTCGCTCGAAGCGAAATCTTTGCCCCGGCACAGGTCACCAAGGCTATCCACCAACTGGGTGCAAGGATGGAGAGGTCCTCGCACCGCCAGGTGCTCGAGCAGAAAAGCCCGCTAAATGGGCCGTTGGGGTACAGGTTTCTTCGGGCAACCGGTTGGCATCAAACCGATTTGGCCGGTGCAGAGGCTTGTTCTTGACCGAAAGGATGGTGGAGAAATGGTGGTCGACTCAGTGGTATTCCTCATTCCGTCGCCAATTGTTGTTTTCCTTTGGGGTGCCTACATACCAAAACACCCTCCCTACAAAATCAGCTTGAAAAGGAAAAAGTCACCTGCCAAATCCGAATGTGACATCCACCTGATGGCCTTTTCCGTGCTTGAACCGTCCGACCCCAGTTGCTTGGTGAAAAGCACAGGACCCCCGGAAGAACGTCACTGGCTGAAGAACGTCACCGCCTCCTCAGCGGGGTTCCCCAGGGGTGTGGCAAAGCTTGGTGGAGAAAGGAGGAGCTGCAAGTAGGTATCGCCTCCAGTATCCCGGCAACGCAACAAGACTAGAACTAGAAAGGGCTTCTGCATCAAAGAATGTCCAATTCACCTTCAGTAGAAAGCTCCTGCATGTGTGAGACATTGATCGAAGCTCCTCGTTTCCAGGATTCTCGATCCTCTTCGCACACCTCTTCTTTTAACCCTGCGGCTCAGCATCCCGCAGTCCTCCCCAGACGTGAACGTCCCAAAGCCAAGGACATACGCTGCGACGTTGGGCAAGAAGAATGCACCTGTCTTCCCCAAAAACTGTGAACGCCCAACCCCCACGCATGGCGAACATGGAGGGGACATGGAGGGGACCCACTACGGCTACGGCGAGAAGATGAAGCGAAGTTGATGGGAGGGCGTTTGTTGAGGGAAAAAGAAACCAAACCCAGGCAAACTCATCAATATGATCAACCCATCTTGACTCTCGCATGACTTTCTAACCTTTTCTGAACCCTTCTTCAGATTCACTCATTTCAAACATTTCCAGACCCTGAATCCAATGCCACGTCACGTACAAAAACCCCGCAACCCACGACCCCCTGCACCGGACGGCCGGGCGGCCAATGGCACCGCTCTGTACTGCTCCGATGCCCAGGTGCAGCAGCACCATGGCGAGGCCGACGCTCGGCAAGCGCCAATGGCTGGGCAGAAGGAAGGCGCCCAAGGGTGCCAACAGGCATTCCTCAGCCGAACGGGTTCGCGGCATTTGGAGGATCCGGAAACTTTTAGAGGGAGGGAGGGAGGGAGGGAGGGAGGGAGGGAGAGAGAAGCCGCGGGGAAACTGGTGGAAACGGGTGAAACTTGGAACTTGGCCGCTTTTGGGACCCCGCCTGACGCCTAAAGTTGTGCCCGTTTGGAATGAAACAACTCTTTCATCTAGGGGGTTGAACTGATCATCAAAACTGGTCCAATGAATGCTTTGGAATCTGATACATCCTGAAAGATTTATCAAAACCTCCAAAAAACCTCCTGGAGACGTGATTAAAAACATCCTGCCTCTACAAAAACCTATAGAGTTCTATTTCTGATACTCTGATAAAACCTCTCGAAATCTCCAGGAGTCACCGAGCTCGGGGTGGTGTGGCTCGATGTGTGAGCTCAGTCCCATCCGCTGAGACCTGACTCTCGGCTGGCAGAGTAGGCACTCTGAAGCACGAAGAGTCGTGACCGGCACCTGGCGAAGCTACGTAGGCCTGACCTGGCTCCACTCTTTCAGAGCCTTCCTTTCTCATCCTTCTCATCTTGTTCACTGGGGCTGATGGTTTGCTCCATCGCCGTTTGGCCTCCGCGCTTCCCTCCGGACCCACCCTCCACAGCGGACCCGACCCTCCGCGCGCTTCCCTCCGGGGGCCATCCCGAAGGCGAACCGGGAAGGCCATCCACTTCCTACCAGGACCCTCCGTTCGGTTCGGCTGTGGCCTGATACACACGGGTCCCACAGGTGGTGAACCGGTGGTGAACCGAAAAAGGCACACACCGATCTGGTCACCAGGAAAGACCTGGACTGGAGGGTGCTGGTATGTGATGTGTTTGTTGGAGAGGTGCCGTGCCGCCGCATTCTTCCGACGGCCTAAACGAGGGGAACACCTCCGCTTCCGCTCCCGTCTTCCGCAAGCACGGTACGAGGTCGAGGTGCGAAGAGCAAGGTCGTGGAGGCCAAGAATCCACCTGGAAGGGAGGACCTTCCAGAAGGGAACAGTCTGGGAGGAACAGTGTTCGGAACATGTTGGGGTTCTTATCTGTTGAATTGTTCGAACGAAACCCAAAATTCTTGGCTCTGCCCATCTTGGAGTTTTTTTGGATCTAAGCTGACCTCTTCGACCTGCCCCTTGCCGATGTCGAAGCATGTCCGAAGGGCTGTTAGGCTCAACTTACGACCGGAAAACTGGTCAAACAGAGGCCAGAGCTAAGTGGCCTTGTTTGTTCTTCAAGATCATCGAACTCATCGAAACATCCGAGGTTCAAATGGCTTTCTATTCTACAAGGCTATTCGATTTGCACAAGATGGTAGCAGCAAGGAGTAGCAGAAAGGAGGTGCGGAGGCTATGCATGAACTCGGGGAATAATGGACCAGTTAGAGCAAAATGTGGCACTCTGCTCATGAAGTGGTAATGCTCCGAGATCCTTCTTCGTCTCTTCTGCGGTTTCTCCTCCTCCACCTCGACCGTGATCCAGTCAACCATGACTCGTTCGGTGACATAAGACAACAATCTCATCTGTCAGGGTTCCAACACCAACGAAAGAAACCAGTTAAACTCTCATCCAAGCAGTCTCCTACCTTTTGAACACCATCGACTCATCCAGGAAAGTCACAAAGCAGATCGGAGTGGCACACCCAGCGGTTCGCAAACAGCAGGATGGGACCTCATTTTGAACAAATAGGATGAAGAACGGGGTGAAAAGGGCCAATGAGCTACCCCGCAATTCCAACAACCATTGTTTTAATGGTCTTTACCAAAGAACCATTGTTCTACATTCCTTTAATGGTCTTTGAAGGCTAAGGGCAACAAAACCTGGCATAAAATCTGCGAAATGTCCTTCGCTCCAACAATGACCTCTTGTCTATTCAGACAGGTACATGTTGGTAGTCTGCTGTACATCGAAAATCTGTAAAGTGGCACACTTCACACTGGATGGTTGCAATCCCCACTGGTCATCATCCAGCCTTTCCCAAAGGTCAAGTCAAGTCACAGCTCAACCATCCAACTCCTGCTCAACCTAGTTCCCTTCCCGCACTCATCTTCACCCCTGTCAGAACAGAAATATCATACTCTCAGTGTTCCTTAAACCAATCCCAAACCAAACAATCTCTATAATATTCTATATGAATAATTGCATGATATGACATGATACGAATCATGACCTCCTGTACATCAAAAAGAAGTCATGATCTAAATATCCCTCAGGTCTTTCTCCAACTCCAACTTCCAAGCGACCGCCCTGCCGTGGCGTCTTCTGGGCGAAGGTCCTCAGGATCGCCCGCAGCGTGGCCGGCGCCGGCCAGGCAGTGCCGCCCACACGGAGCTTCGAGAGGCCACTACCTGACCCGTGGAAGGAGGCGGGAGGAGCTGCGAGAGATTGAGAGATTCTTTACAGTGGGTAGATGGAGTAGATGGCACAAGTTACCCCTGTGGTTTGTATGGACCCCCAGATGCGGACCTCTTGGGGTGCCAATGCCATCTACTCTGAAACCACTGGAGCTTGGGAAGTGATGACAGAATCGGCAAAAAGCATGGAGACCTGGAAAAGAAGGACATCAAATTGGACCAGAATGAGTTTTCCAGACCTGTTCCTCTACAGATCTCACATGGATGTGGGTTTTTCCACCAAAAAGTGCCTCTAAACTAGGCTTTCTGAGGCAGAACCGTCCAAACGCAGCTGAGGGGCCCAAGATATACAGCACACAAAGGCCAGATGCGACGGCTTGGGCCTTCTCTGGGACGAGAACCCAAGCCCAACAGATATACAGCCTGACGAGCCGTCGGCGGCCAAGCCCGTTGGGATCCCTCCGGCGGCCATAGTCCGGTGTGGGTCTTTGTTGAGACCTCGAGGCAGGGACCTCGGGGTCTCAACCATCGACCCTCGAAGACGTGTGTTGTCAAGGACATGCAGGTTTCGGATCAGCGACTATTCACCTTGATGAGGTGATAACACATGAGTTTTCGGTGACAGAAAGTGACACCCGTGTGACATTGTGACATGGAATTTTGGGGAGCCGGTGACGTTGACGTCCCCAAACGCGGATCAGCCAGGACGCATGAGGTAGTCCCTGTGGCTGCTGGTCCGACAGCTGTCACCCAGCTGAAAGAGGGTCACGGACACGGCAGTGAGGCAGCGGACCTGTGACGAGATGCCATGCCAGCAAGCACAAAATGAACTAAGAGCACATTTTGTCCTCAAGCTCCAGCCTTCAAAGACCATCAAGAAAATGGTTGACCTGGTTTTAAAAGATGTATTGGCCTTTAAAGCCTAGATTTGTCTTTGAAGCTCACAAGCTGTATTGCCTGGGGCCAGACGAAGGTCTACCGCTCTAGTCTTGCGATAATACAGACAAAAGAACTATATATATATACACAAAAACAATATGCATGCAAACATATCCCCCAAGGACGAGCGGTTTGTAGAGTTGGCCATGTCGAATTTTCCCCGCAGTTGTCAGATGTAGAAACCAAGCGGCTAGCTGACGACCTGCACAGTACTTCTGCTCCGTCCAAGCGCTGAGGAAAAAGAGGGGGATGCTGGAATAGGCTGCCAAGCGATACCTCGAAACACGGAAGTTCGCTGTTTCCTTCCTTCTGCAGCTCCTGGTTTCATCAGGGATCTGATGTAGCAGATCTCAAGGAGGAGGTCTTTTGGGTGATTTTACTGTTCAGGCATGTTCAAGCCACACTCATAAAGGGCTGGTTGGTCCTGGACTGAGCAACTGACGACGTCAAGATGGATTCCAAGAGCCATGAAGAAGCGATTTCTGGAAGAATCGGAAGGAGAACCAACTAAAGACAGGTTGGGGCGTTTCATTCAGGAGACGAGCTTTCTTAGTTGGGGCGTTGCACTTCAGGAGACGAGCTTTCTTAGTTGGTGAGTTGCACTTGGACACCCACCCACCCAAACGGCTTCACATCGACCGCTCAGGTGCACGGAGGGGCAGACGAGGCGGAAGAAGAGACGGCTCGGCATCCACCTGAGAGCGAGCCACCGGCTGGGCTAGCAACGCCCACTGAGGATCGGCTCGAAATACCCGGACCCCAAAAAACGAAGCACGTGGTATCACGGTTTTCAACGCCAAAGGAAAAAGGACCCTGTTGGATGACCACCGATTCGGTGGTCCGAAAAGACCAAGCAGGTCTGAACAACTTCGGAACCTGTCGGTTCTTTCACACCGCGAAACAGGGCACGTTTCGACCGTTTCGTTCCACCTGTTCCCTCCGGGTCGTCTCCGATCGTGCCCCTCCGCTGGCCGAGCGGAGCGAGCGATCGGGTCGACTTGGCATGCGATCGTGCCCACCTTCCAGTTCGACCGGCCCCAAACCGCAGGACTTCGAGTTTTCTCCCACCACCTCGCCCAGGCCCGCGCTGAGTCCACAGCACCCTCCGCCGATCGGACGCCAAGTCACGACGGCTTCCTTGGAGGACGTCGGAAGCCCCGCAGCTCGCCGGGGAGGTCGAGGAGTCGACGGGTCGTCCGATCAACGAAAAGCCCCGGAGAAGAATCACCGACGTGAACGGTCCGAAATCCTTCACGTTCACGGAAGTTCTGTTCGGTTCACGGACGGGCGGCCCAAACGCTGCTTTTCTTTGGCTCCACTTTGCAATACTTTGGCTCCGGCCGGCTAAGGCCCCAAAATGGGGAATGTCACGAACTCTGTGTGGCCAGCATCTTTTGGTCTAAGAGATGGCACCACGCTTTTCACCAGCTAAGCTTCCATCCTCTCCGGCGCCCGAAGCCGAAAAAACCGGTGAAAACCCGACGTTCGTCCAGGCAGCGAACCGCGAGCCCACTGAGACGACCTGGGTCGGCACCTGAGTCAGTCTCCCACCACGCCCGGCGTCAATGCGGTGTTGGACAACTTCTCGGCCAGGCGGAAGAAGTCGACGCCACTTCCCAGGCGGACGGCGATCCACAATGCCAGCAGCCTTGGACCACGACCAATGGGATGACGAACCGGGGAGCTGGTCAAAGCAGTGAAGCCAAAGACCCAAAGAAAGAGGCCTTGATGTATGTGGTGAACAAGACCTCAGGGACACGCCCCAATTGAGATTGACATTTGGATGTTTGCCCCACGCGAACTTGGGATGGCTTGGGAGCTCGAGCGTTGGATGCTGATCTGCTTCGACTTAGGCTGGTCATCCCGATCCACCGTGGGTTTACGAAGGATTTGACACCAAACCAGGTCCAAAAGTCCCATTCTAATGACAAGAACCGAAGTCGAGGGTTTTTGTACATTATCTGTTGGTGTTCGCTCAGGATTCCCACCAATTCCCCTAGCAGCGTGTCGGCGAGTCCGTAGGCACTCACGGACTGACGCGTGGGAAATTCTTTTCAGATGACAACTATAGAACAACTATAGTATACCATCTTCAGCCTGTATTGACCTTTTCATTGGTATTTGATGCACACAGAGATGCCAGTCTAGTCTAGCCAGGTTCCGGGGTGTTTTTTTTCGATTCTCCTGATGCAATCACATTGCTTTGACGCAGTTCTATGGTGTTTTTGGGGGATCCTGTCACATTTCAGAAAAGCAACGTTCCACCCTGAAGGCCATAGAAGACACAGGCAGGCGGCAGTGTGGACATGGCCATCCACGGTTCAGAAGCATCGATTCGTGCGTCCATGACGTCCAAAGTCTCGTACGGCCACACGGCCACACTCACCCGGTCAATTCACTTGGTCAATTGATGAATGGCACCTCGATTGATGCATCATATCAGGAAACATCAGCGGCAAAATCCACCCATTCATGGCAAATCCGATGATGTTCACAAACCCATGTCCAAAAAACATGGAACGGATTTCGCCATCCGTTCCTGACACGGGTGCTTGGTGTTCCGCTGAAAAAAAGGACTCCACTTCTTGGCCGTTCCGTTCCTTTTCGTTTCCTCCAAGTTCTCCGAGCCCCGCGAAGCTCCGAGCCCAAAAAGGGGTGTGTCATCACGGATCGCGAACCATCCATCCATCCAACGGCCCATTGGGCAGCTGCGCTGCAGTTTAGATGACACATGGAAGAACGAATCATGGCAGAAGCCACATGGCCGCCACATGGTTCTAAAGTTGATGCCTTTCTTTTGGGATCAGCCCTCAGAAAAGTGTACATCCTCGACATCAATCTGCTGTGATGTTTGCATCTTCCCAGAAATTTCCCCACAGCTTGCCCTTCAGATTGAGATGATCCCACAGTGTTTTGGTTGATCCTTTCCCTGCAAAGCATCTTGTCAAGAAACGGTTGGCCTTTTCGTGAATGATGTTTGCAAAAATGTTTACCCGAGGAAGGTAGTCAAGTCGAAAAATGTGTGAAAGCCTCTCGGGAGTATCAGAACCTGGTGATGATGATGGTGAGCTTCTAAGTTGGCCTCTGAAAAAAAGAACAAAACAAAAACAAAAAGGCGGCACGTGGTGGCCCATTTCTTTTGCCCGTGCACTCTCGCTCCCAAGGATGCTCGGCAGGACGTCGCAGGCCTGGCAGGAGGTGCTTACAGTGGAAGAAAGGGCACCATTATATCGCTGCGGTTTGAGGAAAAGCCAGAACAGCCGCAAGAAGCAGATCCACACAGTCCACACAAAAATTCTGCAAACTCAACCCAAAAAATAGCCCTCTTGGGATTTCGTGGAAGCCAAAGCATCTTAACTTCTTAACAGAGCAGGGGTTTACGAACCCTACCCAACCCCTGAGCGAAACCCTCTACGAAGCTCCCCAGTATGGAGTGGCCACTGGAGAACGGCAAGTCTAGCGAACGAGTGTGCTGAGTGCAATATGTTACTAGTAGCGATGCCCTTGTTCCTAGTCGCAATGCCAGGAGCTACTAGTAGCGTCCTTGCTCCTAGTAGCGATGCACCTTGCTACTAGTAGCTTCTCAATGAAAAACATTGATCCTTCCCCAACCTGCCATGATAGCGAAACGGCACACATCAAAAAGATAAAGTGAAATACATATGTTACAAAAAAGGAACTGGAAGCAGTACAGCATCCAGTCTGATTACAGAGTATTGTTCCTGCTGGTATGCTTAGACGAGTTTCCCATGGCCAAATCGAAAAGCCCGAGACAGGATTGAACACGGACATGTCGGTGGACAACTTAGCACTTTACTCTCCGACTTGGCCGAGCCTTGACACCACCTCCAAGCCCTTAGAGATTTAGGGATTGTGCTTGCACAACGTCACTGGCTTGGCTTCCATGTTCTCATCTGGCTTTGCTGCACTTGCACCTTCCGCGCCACCCCAAGCAAGAGCGCCCGGTCATCCCTTCTTTTTGCGACGCAGGTGTTCGAGCGCAGCGCGGTCAAAGGCTAAGCAGGGGAGGTGAGAGGCGGCGGGCATCGGGTCGCGAGACACCGGCTGGCTGACACAAGGAGACGGGTATATGATTGGGGGGAAAGCCTCTTGTGGATTCTGGGATTGACATTCTCCTGTGGCTCATGCAATTGAAAGGAACACCAATCTCTTTTTTCGACGGATCCCGTGTGTTTGATGGGAGAAAGGATGGGAGAAGCCCCGGCGGTGACCTCTGAACCCTCAAGCCACCGAAAAGAGGGCGGTGGGGCCGATTTGGTCCAACTCCTCACATCCTCGGACGCGACGGAACCGTCACCGAACGGGCCGAACGGGGGCGAGGCCCTGGCCGGACCGATGAACGGAACAAGAAGCTACGAACGTAGCAGGGTGGAGGCCATTACTAGGAACTAAGAGGACGCTACGGACGCCCAACGTCTCACATCTTCGCTTCTTGAGCCCCAAAAAAATCGGCTCTTGGACCGAAAAAGAAGACAGAAAAGAAGGCAGACGTCGTTCTTCTGGAGGGGATCGCAAGTTGGAACTCTGAGACAATATCCCGAAAGTGCTCAATGTTCCCCGAACCGGGTCTGTTTGATCTCAGTCTACTGGACTTGGTCATTACAAACACACAACTTAAAAATATGAAAGAACAGGTTTTACTGGTTCTTTTCCTGTTCATCGCTTTTCACTGGTCTCGGCCACGGAATCCCTGATCACGAACCGAGTCTGTCGTCGGTGCCGCGAAGGTTCCGCGGACTTTTGAGAGACAGCACTAACGGAGACGAGCTGAGCACTTCATGAGCCTCATGGCAGTCATACTCAGTCTGATCCCCTGTTCTTCTTGCAGAGTAGACTGGTCACCGCCGCACCTTTCTTGGCCCAAAGACCAAGTGGACAAACTTACACAAGACATCACGATTGACACTCAGATCCAAGACTTGAGATGTTTGATATAATATATAATATTTTTTGTCAGGGTCTCAAACAAAATTATTATGGCGTTGTGTTAATATTGGACCCTGTATTTTTGAGCCAACAAGGCTGATCTGTTTCACTTAGCCAACGCATTGAAGAAACAATATAGAAAAGTAGTCTCCTGGAACTTCATGAAGGCCCCCCAAAAAGGCCAGGATTTCTTCCACCGGTGCCAAACTACTCTGCAGCCAAGGCATCGCTGTAGGGTCGAACCAAAAACGCCATGAGTAGTGAAGCTTTTCGATGTTCTGAATCCGAAGCCGACCGCAGTTCTTCTACAGCGCAGCCTTGTTCCATCGCGGAAAAATAAACAAAAAGAATATGTTGCTTCCGCCGCGAACGGCGGATCGTGACATCGCAGATGCCTATTCAAAAATAGCGCCTCCAGAGGGTCCTAGATCTCTGAGGTGAGGGAGAGTCTGGCGGCGGCGCCTTCTCAACGCCTTCGCCTACAAACTCATGGGCCTGCTCTCCGTGGGCACTGGCAACTCCTCCAGCACGCCGGCGCTGCTCACATGACCAAGCACTTGGGCTGATGGAGCAGGCTTTGCCTTCGTCGCGGTGGGGTTCAGAAGATATGTCCACACAAGTGCTGTTGCAATAAGAGACAGGACCATGTAGATCACGACACCTGACAGGACGCATCGGGAGAAGGAAGGTTTCGTGCTACAACATAAAGCACATCCTGTCTGTGTTTTCACACATGCTGATTCTGCTTTTCGTGTGTATCTCAAAAAGTTTTAAAAAAAATGTGCAATAGTAATAACTAGTGTATGCAAAAGAGACTCAACGCGACCTTCATTCTCCCTGGGAAGCTAGGTGATCGAAAAAAGAGACGCGGAGAACATGGGAACGAACAAAGCCCCCTACTTGATCCGAACCACTTTCTTGCTTTGACCTTCGTTCACTGGCAGTCAAAAGCCTCAAATCATTATAGTATAGTCCCACCCGTCCCACCCCTTTCCCTTTAATTCGTTCCTTTGATCCTTTGATACCAAAACAAGAATTGTGGATTTCGTGCCACAAAACCATGTGGAGTTCATTTTGAACTTGA